TTCCTAATGTGGTATCCTTCTTTTATAAATATGAGGGTAAAAGACGATTTGTAGTCCCATTCAAAACTGTGATTAGCTTGTATTTCACCTTTGCCATGAACACAACTCAAGTGAGTTTCGAGTCTTTATTTCCTCGACAACTTTCGGCCACAAATCGTGCATTTGTAATACGATCGATTCTTGTCGATTATTTCTACATAGAGTGAGCTCACATCATTATCTATATCACCAAGGTATCCATCGTCTAGAAGTAGAGAACAGGTCAGAGAAGTCAGAATAAAGTTGTGCGCTCCTCCTAACACTACAATCGCCAAGCCAGCGGATTCACAAGTCCTAAAAGATCCACGTGATCATGCCCGTGATCGGAAACAAAGAAGACTCCATTTGGCGCTCATCTTTGAATGTACTTTTCATCGGTTGATCGTTTTTCTCAACTGTTTTGCTTAATATAACATTTCTAAAGATAGCTTTTATTGTGGTTCAATGGGAAAACGAGAACAGCGTGAGTGTTGTAAAAGAAATGAAAGTCGTTGGCGCCGTGGAGTTAAAAGAAGGGACAACAGTTGACATATTGACTGGTACAAACAAGGGTCGACTGGCCATCTGTAAAGCTACGATTTTGAAAGTTTGTGGTGAGTAAAAACTGTGATATTCGTTACGTGATCAAAATCTTATAAAAGAATAGATGTAGCGGGTTGAATTAAGCTTACATAAAGCTCGGCGCAACTGAAACTAGAATAATTCTGAGAATCGAATCAGTCACTTGCATGCCGCAGTTTCTTAAGCTTATGCTTTACAATGAAATAAACCTATCAGTAAGGTTTCAAGATTCCTTTAGTCAGGTTTGGGAACATTCAAGATTCATAATAGGAACTGTTATTAAACAAACCTCATTACATCAAGAAGCCCTCCTTGGTAAAAACAAAATAATGTATTCAGCCCTTTTTTAGTAAAATCTATGAGAGAGATGTACTAACTCCAATATAAAAGTCACTCAATATAACAGAGATTTCTCAATTTGAGAATCCAATGAATGCTCTTTTCCTCAAAGCCATCTTAAAGGCCTGGTCTGAGCTTTAAATATATGTATTTAAATATATATATTTTTTCAAATTCAGATGTCATGGAACCCAGATACAAAATGGTCAAGCTTCTTGTAGACAACTTCATTCAAGGCCAACTCATTGTGAGCCCAGGAAAAAAATACAAACAGCAGCTAAGTTTGCAGTTTAGGAAAACTTCATTCTAATTTATTGTTACAGTTACAACAAGATTTTAATCAAAAAATCAATTTTATTTGTCTGTATTTAACCCCTTCACTCCTAAGAGTGCTTGGTTTTCAAATATAATTTAAGATATTGTATTTTATGGAAAAGAATCAACAGATTTTATTCACAATTTGTGTCAAACCAAATTTAATGATTGATTAGGACTATTTTATATGAATAGCTATAATTGAGGATTAATCCTTATGAAGTTTTCAAGAAAAGAAAAATCAAATTCCATCCTAGTATTACCACACATTGATGTTAATAATGAATCAAAAATATTTTACATGTAAGCCTTAATGAAGCTTCTAAATAAATTAAATTGAATACTTGAATTTTAGCTGGGTTTTTTAATTTAAAGTATTTATTTTATATCATTAGCCTCAAATTTTTGCTTAAAATTCCCAGTAAATATTCCTAAAAATTCCCAAAAATTCCCCAAAATTCCTAGGAATTTTTCAGATTTACAGCTTTTCAGGGAAAGTCATTGGTTCTCTGAGTTGGAATTCCTAGGAATTCCTAGGAATTCCAAGTCCTGTTGGCTATAAACTTGGAATTTCTGGGAATTTCTGGGAATTTCTGGGAATTTCTGGGAATTTCTGGGAATTTCTGGGAATTTCTGGGAATTTTTTGGGAATTTCTGGGAATTTCTAGGAATTTCTAGGTTTTTAGAACCAGAGTTGTTATGGTTGGGAATTCCTAGGAATTCCCAGTCCGAATTTACCGTGAAAATTCACACCTTTATTCCTAGGAATTCCTAGGAAAATCCTAGGAATTCCTAGGAAAATCCTAGGAATTCCCAGGAATTCCAAAAGCCATTTCGCAAGGGTTATGCATTCAGTTCTTGGATATAGAGAAAACAATGACAAAAACAACACATTGCCATTGGGGAAACAGCTTTGTTTTACGATAGTTGGGGGCTGTGCGGAAATTTTACCAAGAATACTACTACTATTACACTTCACCAACCTTTGCAGTGTTTTAACGGGTGATACATTATCCTGATCTTCCTTTCGCCAAGTATCCAACGGATTACTGAGTTCAGAGGTGCTATCCAATGCAGTCGTGGCCAAAACAAATAGAAAGTTTACCACAACGAATCCACAACGTGTAGAGTTTCGAAGATTGAAAAGCCCGCCATTTTTGATCCGACAGATATAATGATACAGGATTACATGGTCTTCCTCTTCGAAAGTGATCTCGCTTTTCTCCGCATAATTACTCTGATATTACTGCAAGTGATTTTGTTGACTGTATCAAGGTCAGATGAAATAGGGTCCTTTCGACATTCTCGGACGCGTGTTCCTGAGAACTAGAAACCAACATGTGAACGAGGCTTAGAGGACAAAATGGATGCCAGCTCTGGTGCAGGCATCTTCAGCACTTAACCAGTTCCTTGGTTACAAAGGCATTCAAAGCTCGGGAAAGCGCAAGAATGAACTAGTAGAACTTTTTGTAAAAAGTGAGGAGATAAAAGTCCCGAAAATCTCAGAAGAAGAAGAGCCAGTCGATCCAGCAATTTCAATGAAAGAGCAACTGAAAACTAACAATGAAGGGTACTTGGCCAATTCGTTGAACAAAGAAAATCAGGCTTTTGATAAATGGACCAACAATTTTTCGGAAGTACCAGACTTTAGATTTCCTGATCTTTTTAATTATCTAGTGGGAAAGGATCCCGGGTATAACGCCGAAAGCCTAAAAAGTTACAAATCTCTTCTGGGATACAAGTTGTACTTCGATGGACACGTAGAAGACCTTTGTTACCATCCGCCACAATCTAGTGCCAGCAGTTACAGTTATTTTCTGTTTGCTGTAAAGCCAACTGAAAGGTCCAAGGCTGACGATGGGTCAGCAACATATAAGGGTTTTTTTTATTTTAAAGAAGGATGGAAGTGTGCATTCGGCCTACTGCCCATGCAAAGGAGGGTATGTATTTTCATTTACTCTTACTATAAGGTAATTAGCCTTAAGATGTACAATGAGCCAGAGTCATTTGAAATATATACGAGCTAAAAGTCTAAAATGAGAGATGTATGTTTACCTGTTATGATCAGCTGATGAATTGTTGGACTATTTTTAATGTTAATGTAAACAACATACAGATATGCTATATATGAAATACATTAATTAAAAAAAAACCCAGCTAACTTAATGAATAAATAAAAAATGAAACTTGTGTGATAATATATCACTACTAACTTTCAAAGAAAAAAAAATTAAGCTATTGGCTATATTTCAGTGTACCAAATGTTTCACTCTGCTATAAGATTAATATACAGAAAAAACAAGCAGATGACTGAAAATCACTTGCGTTTTTGATCATTTTATTTGTGTGAGGACAATGTTTAATAAATATCAATCATCTTGGTCTCTATTTGATAGGGCAGATGGAGGTTGTCACCACATAGCTGCAGCACTGTTTGATCTGGAAGCAAGCGTACGATTCAATGATCTCCAGTCATGTACATCAAGACAATGCATGTGGAAAAAGAAAGGAAAGAGAAATGAGGGAAGCTTGCCTATTCAGGAGCTACAAACAAATAGTGGTGGCTATGGTTTGACAGTAAAAGACTCTGCAAAGCCAAGAGATTTTAATCCACTTTGTATTCCTTATGACCCAGCTGAAATAGAACAACAGTTCAAAGCTGGGTTGCTGGAAACATTCCCAGGTTCTTCAGCTCTCCCTTTCTTACATTCAGCTGAAGAACCAGGGCAAACAGAGGAAGAAATCAGGGCTTTGATAAGTGATGATTTAAATGTCAGTAAACAAGAAAGTGTTCAAAGTGTTGATGTTTATTCAATGAGTGATTACGCTAAAGTGTTTGTTTCTGTTAATATTGAAAAAGTGACACCTACAGTCTCTACAGAACTTGCAACCGAGTTCCTTGAGTCTATTTCATTTAATGAAGAGCAACCAGAAATGATCAACAAAAAGACTGTCAATCAATTCCAGTCCCAATTTTGGTTTGATCAAAGGGCAGGAAGAATTACAGCTTCCTCATTTTACACCGTGTGCCACCTCAGAGAGAGCACAGACAAGAGAAACACTGTGAAGCATCTTATGAATTACTGTCCAATTGCTGAAGATGCAATGCCAAAACAGTTAACATGGGGTCATGAAAAGGAAAAGAAAGCACTTGATCTCTACATTAAAAAACAAAAGAGAAACCATGAAAAGTTGTCAATAAAAAACAGTGGACTAATAGTAAACACACTATGGCCCTTCTTGGGAGCCAGTCCTGATGGTGTCAGAATTTGTGAGTGCTGTCAGAAGAAGTTAATTAAAATTAAGAGCATGTATGCAAAAAGAAATCTCCCTCCACAGGTTGCAGCTGAGGAGAAGCTCGTGTTTGTTGGTGACAAATATATACTAAAAAAAGAAACAAAATGGAACTATCAAATTCAGGGTCTGATGGGAATAACATGGCTTCATTGCTGTGATCTAGTTATTTATACCTTCAAAGGAATATTGATTGTCAATGTCAAGTTTGACAGTGAGTTGTGGAACGAAATGCTTGAGAAGCTGAGAAACTTTTTCTTAAAGTACATAGTTCAGGAACTCTTTCACCATGACATACTTAAATCATTATAAGGGACTATCATTGGTGGTGAATGCTGATACTCAATGCTGGATAATTCCTCAGTGGGTCTAAGGAAGATTTTTGATATGTGTTATTAACCATTAACATAAACTGACTGGTAATTGTTTAAAGTTACAAACTTATTGTGCTTCTCAGCTCACAAGGCAGCAGTAGTTATTTAGCCAGGGGTGGTAGCAAATTGCACAGAGCAGCACACACACTAAAAATGTTGTCAGCAATGGGCAGCATTGGAACAAGAAAGTTCCCTTGTAGAATTCTAAAGTCCTTAAGTCGTCCAATGGCACATTCTACATGGATCCGAACACTGGCAATGGCACGGGTAGATTTTACTGCCTTCTTAGACAGTTGCTTTCCTGAGTGAAAAAAGAGATTTCAAATTAATTAAATGCCAACTTGAGAAGCTACTGATAGAGAAGTACTTGCTGTTTTTCAGTCAAAGCTGTTTATGTTAAATATCAAAGCACCTAGAAAAGAGATCACATATGATGGGAACTGCAGCCTTTATAAACATATTTGTGAGATTGAGTTAAAGTAATGGTTACATGTATCTCCCTGATGAGCAGGTTGCCTTAACCATTAATAAAAATACTGATAAGAATTTGTACCTGTTAAGTAACTTCAACTTCATTGTTACTACCAATTAGATATAGGTATGTTGCTATATCAGATTTTTTACCAGCCTAAGGAGACCATCTGTTTGCTTTTTCCATACCTTCTCTCATTCCTTCCCTCTGAAACTCCCTTTATCTAACTAAACCACTAAACTTTAAAGGGTGAGTTACCTTTGCAAAGTGGTGGGATATTAAGTGCTACTTTCTTTCTTGTAAGTAGATCCCTGATGTTGAAGCCTTTGTCTGCCATGACAGAATCCCCCTCTTCAAGTTTGTCCAATAGACCACTTTTTTCAGTAATATATCTATCGCTGACATTTCCAGTCCATAGTTTAGAAACAAAGGTGAAATAACCTGTAGGTGAGATTCCCACTAGTGCTTTCACTGTGTTGTGCTGTTTATAGTTACTCCAGGTGGCCCTCTGGGCACTAGGGGATGTTGGCTTTTGTAAAAAAATATCTCAGTACAGTCTATTATTATTCTTGTGCTAGGAAACTTACAAAAAGACCGTGGTAAAGTTTTATTAATGTCTTCCTTACAAGGCCATTTAAGGAGAATGTCACGAAAAACTGTGGACAGAAAACAAACCCAAGTTGTAAAGACTTTGCTAACTGTTCCCTCTGATACTCCAAATATATCTGAAAGATGTCTGCTTAAAAGCCCAAGTCTGAGTCTCACCAAAGTTAAGATGAACTCTTCCATAATGGTCAATAATCTTTGCTTTCCAGGCTTTTTTTTGCTTGAATCTTTTTGATACGTAACTTCCTTCTCTTTGTTTTTGTCCCAGTACTTAAGTTTTTCTGCAAAGGGCTTTAACAAATTAAATATCATTGTTAAGCAAGCCAGTAAAATTTGACTAACTCGTCATCTTTTAAAACATCATCCACAAATAGCTCTCTTTTCAGCTGCTTGCTGTTTGTCAACTCAGCCTTAAGATTTGCGTTTTCCTCCTTCAAAGTATTAATTTCACTGTTTAAAACCTGTAAATCTTCAAAAGGAAAGTCTGTTTGAGTTCCCTTGTCATTGTTTAGAAGACGCTGACAATAATTGTGATCCAAAAGAACTGCCTCGTTGCTTGTTGCGACCCAGGTATCTTTGCCTTCCTTTGTAACCGTCCTACTCTTTTTAGGTTTAGGACATTGCTCATGAGATGTTCGTTTCTTCCTATCATCCAGTCTTTTTTCACGAGAAGAAACAGGACCCTCGTTTGTTGAGGGATTAAAATACTTCGGCAATTCACCCGGAATAATTTCTCTTCTCCCGCCAAGGGAATTTTTGATGGAGGAAGCCTCGAAATGTGCACTGCAAAACCGAGGGTTTTTTTGACCTCGGAATTCGGGATCATTTCGTCGATAAAAGTTCTTCCAAAGCCTTCTAGAATTCTGTTCGGAAAGGAAGCAGAAAAAGGAAAGATCGGGACGATTCCTAGAACTGTTCAAGCAGTTCGCTACAGAACAAAAATTCACCATAACTTTGGAAAAATAATGGTAACTTACACATTACATACAGTGCACCGGTTTCTGTTTTTAATTTTCCCCGCGCGCGGTCCTCTAGGCCTCGTTTGCATGTTCATTTCTAGTTCTCAGGAAGGTGCGTCCAATGATATCAAAAGGACCCTATTCCCGTGAGCAAACTATATTTATGACGATTAGTCACATGGCGAGTTCCAACACAAGACGCGCTAAGTCCCAGGCTATTATCAAATTTCGCGAGGAATGCCTAGTTGTTATTGACCTCTAACCAGTCTTTTTTATCTTGCAACTCGGTCGGCTGTGATCTTCTTTGGAATGGTTCACCTTTAACGACCAAAAATAATCATGACAAATGAATGACATCCGTTTTATTTTGCCCTCCTTAATTTTTGATTCTAGTTTAATAAATTTTTTGAAGTGCTTAAGAGGAAATTAGAGTACCACAACTGAAGTTCAGAAAGGTACACGCAAGTTACTTAAACAGTTACAAGTTCCTTTATGATTTTACATTTTCTTCTTTGAAGACTCATCACCAGATGATTACCCGGACAAGTTTTCTGTGTAAGGTATGGAGTAGCATGGAGATCTGGTTTTCATACAATGTTTACCCCAATTGTCGTTTCTGAATTTTACAGGAAATGTGTTACTTTTTGGTCCATCATTTTCTGTCATTTGTCCTGACTTTCTCTGATACTTTTCTTCTGAATTTTTCAAACTGTTCATTAACAGAACAAACTTGCAAAAAATGTTCCCCGGCATCTGAAAATATTGACCGATCGGCTTGACAAGTATAAAACCATCTTTTGGATTCTGCTATATTTACTCCCCTGGTCTGGGAACTAAATGATCTTTACGTAGGATATTAAAACGGTTTTCAAATGAGGTCCGCCAAAACAAAGAAAAATACTCATTACCAGCCACAAAATCTACAAGTAGTTAATCATACAAGTAAACAGACAATCACGCAATCGAGCAATCAGAATTATGGACAATTCCATGCCGTTAAACGTGGAAGTCGTTATTGGTATTTTACTTGGTTCTCAGGGCAAGTTTTGTTTGCCGATCGCACTGCAAATCAATGCAAAACCAAATCTATAATTCCAACCAAATTTTTGCTTTCTCCACTGTTTTCCTTTCTGCTGGTAATAGGTTGGATCAACAGCTAAAGAACCTTGAGGGCGGCCAACCCCGATGGTCTCCTGACAGCAGCATGTATATTGCATACCTCCGCGATTTGCAAGACAAGCGTCGAGAAGACTTGCTATTATCCATGCATGTCAAGTGCTCAGAAAGGTGGTTTCTCTCACAGCTAATGAAGAAATATGCAGGTATTGCATTGATATGTTCCAGTGCTAACAGTCGTCGATAAGACGCCCGATTAGAGCTAACCAACATATCGTAATGAAATGATTGTAGTGTAGGCTTTCTACGGTATCATTTTGACTCATGCTGTGTTAATTCTTTAGATGGACAAGCCATTGCAAAACGGCTTTGTGCCCAAATTACGAAGGCAACGGGAGCCATTAAACGGCTGGTCAAGGAGTACACAGGACAAAACTTTGACACGGTGGGTTGTAAATACCCCTCACAATTGCGGTTGAAGACGCGTTAAGCATCGACAGTCCACTGTGGAATGTACTAAACGATGATATCCAACAGCAGTCTGCTGTTGCCTATTGTTCAAAGAGACAACTCATTGATTTGGTTCACACACTCAAAAGATGCTTAGAGGAAATAGCCAGCACCAAAGAGGAAATGGCTCGGATGTTCAGTCATTTCGAGGGAAAGTTGAAGGTATTGGACACCTAGATGTACTTCCTTCTCGCGTTACTCTTCGCTAAATATTCGCCTTTTTACTTATGTCTTTTCTTGTTCTCTTTCGCGTTCCTTTCACCGCATTCTGCATATTTTGGTGTCCTCTCTAACTTTCTTGCGCGTTTTTCTCGACTTACTTTACGTAATTACTTCTTGTTTTGGTCGCTCAGTCTCTTTCTTTTCGTCCTATTTTCACTCTAAACCCTCTCTCCACAAACTTGAATCATAACAATTTCCTCTCGTTGACAAAGCTTTAGCTCTGCCGGTATTGTTGCTTTGCGAGTTGATCAGAAAATGCAAAATACTGAGAATTACTGTTCAACTTCAACCTCACCAGTTTGATTTCGCGCTCAAAACGCGGGTTGCAAATTATTTGCTTACGCGGCTTCACATCTATCAGCCCACGTGAAGCCCTCGTGCAATGCCTAGTCGTGTGCCCGCGGTACGCTACACTGAAGCTCGACACTCGAGTATGCGCACTTCATTGTCATCTGCCGGTGTTTCCTGGCGCACACCTCGATGAGCGAGGTCTATTACGAAGTTCTATCCACAAACATTACCCTATCGACATTGCTAATCCTCACAGTATGCAGGACGCGTATCATATGAACTTCGTAAGAGACTTCACTCACCATGGAGTCTCTGTGGCTCAGTCGTAGAGCATCGGAGAGCGGAATCCGAAGGTCTGAGGTTCGATTCCTCATGAGGACTCAGAAGTTTTCTTTGTCCCACGCTCGTCACAAGACTAAAATCATCTTCATTTCTTAACCGAGCTCAAAACTTACCATCTCTCTTATTTCTCCCTAACTGCTTGTTTATGAAATTGCAACTCTTCGTAAGCGCTTATATGAATGCATTATGAATTCACTCGAAAAATTGTTGTAAATACATTACACATAAATATGCATGCATAGGGAGCCCTCAACGAAACAAATCTACATATATATGTTATTCGCCCGTCGGGAGGTCCGTATTGGGAAAAACTGTGCCCTCCGCCTTGAGTACTCAAGAAAGAGGGCACAGTTTTTCTCAATACGGACCGACCCTAGGCTGGTGAATAACATTTTACATTTTACTACATAAATGATTCCTTATATACATTCACAAAGTGTTCTGGAACATACCAAAAGCTTACAAAAGAATTATTTTAGTAGTATTACGTAATAACTGCGTCACTTGATGTCAGCATGAATAAGCAGTCTGGGGATTTCTAGAAGCTTCTATTTGCAACAACAATTACTCATAACAATAGATTCTTGCCGAACGAAGTGGAAAGTCGCTAAATATAAATATTCCTTTCGCGATGACAAAAACCGAAAAAAGGAAGAAGGTGCCGTTAACTTTGCATAAAGATGCATTTCTGAATCCAAAAATCATTCTCTTTAAATGTTGACGACCTCACCTCGAATCGAGCCAGTAAGAGGGCAAGAAAATTAGGAGCTTGCAACCATCTGGAGAATTCAATTGACTTCTGAATAAACGGGTTCCTATAATTAGAAATTTATTATCACTTGGTTCCGTAATGATACTCAATTCAACACGTTCGAAAATTCAGATCGAGAGTAATTGAGGCATCTTAGGTTTATTATGAAATTTTTTTATAAGACTGCTAGGCATGAAACGTTCAAGGCGTTTCAAATGAGCAAACACCTTTGACGGTGAATAATTCTGAGGAGAAACTCTCCGTAAAAACATAGATAGTTATCAGATAGGTAAACACTGTTCTGTTGGGATAGAAATGGCGAGAATGACAATAACAATTGCAATAACGACGATGATGATACATGTAAATAATAAAAATACTTATAACCATACTAATAAAATGATTAATGATAATCTATAGATGGGTAAATTTCGTGTAGCTTTAATGTTTTCGAATACCGTTGCTGATCGGCAAATTAGCATCATATTCTTCCTGTTGATCAAAGATTAGAATCATGACATTATCATTCTTTTGAGTCAGCCAATCATGTGAGAGATCCGGAGACAGAGTGCATTGTTTAGGAGCCTTTCCTTCTTCGAAAGACCCCGGGAGAAGGGGGAGAACGAAAAATGAAAAACAGACTTCGGTGAAGTTTCTTTCTTTAATTTGCATTACTTCATCGATGTCAATTTGACTTGCGGTATTTTTTCCCTAAAGTTATCTTTTACATTATTCCATATGTTCGAGCCTTTCTACTAATCCATTGTTTCTTCAACTGAGTGTTTTATATCTTTGCAAGATGTTCCGTAAACCATAAAAAAATCGACATGCGTCACTCGGTGGGCGTTTAGATTAAATCTATTGCCAAGAGATATTGTTTTTCTTATCTTTTCATTATTATTATTATTCCTTTTAAAAATTGTTCTCAGAGGAAGTGGGATTGGTTAGCCTTTCACTCCCAGTGGTGATCACTATGAATCTTCTTCCTATGATATCCATACATTATTCAGCAGACAGGTAATGAGAATATTCAAACTTATCAGGTAGAGGTTGTTATCTTGATCTAACATCAAATTCTTGTATCCAATTAAAAAGGAAATGTGTAGCACAAAGAGGGGAGA